AACTCCCAATACTAACTTCTCTTCTTCTTGTATTTTGTTCGTTTTGTTTTCTTCTTCTTCTTAAATTTGTTGTTTAAGGGCGGCTGGCAAACAGCTTTTAGGCGCAATACCACCCCCTGGACTATATATATAGTATAGTCTGCCCTGAATGGCAGACTTTCTTCCCACTCGTAAAAAAAAAGACATTCGTTGTGTGACTGCATACACCGAACCGTGACGGTACCGTTACACCCCTACATTGTACGTGATAGGCTAAGGGTCGGGAAATATATAGGCGGTTAACTAACCACAACAGAGCCGGTCAGCTAACCAATCACATCGTTTCAGGTTCACATATTCACAAATATGAACCTGAAAATGAGCAGAATAGAGCCCCTTTAAATTAAATTGTCTTCTAGTATTTAGTTTTCAGTGAAAATCATGATCATTGGGTTTAAAAAATATATGTAAATGTTGAATTTCCATCACATATGCCAAGAGAACAAAAATCTCCAACAACTAGAAACTATAAAAAAAAACCTGCTATCATTTTGTGAGCCCTTAGTCTTATGTTGGTTGCAGATAATGGCTGCATATGAAAGCACAACAGGAATGAGAAGCCGTGCCCGAACAACCCTCTCACTCTGAAAGTGATTCAGCGATGATAACCCGGTTGTCAAGCAGTTATTTTGTTTTGGAAAGCATCTTCCTGCAGGCGGTTCAGTGTGGCACCGACAAACTGTTAAATACATTTGTGATCAGTAAAAGAGGTGGATATACCTCTCTTCTCTCTCTTTGCTGATTTGTTTTAACCTGCTTGTTGCTTCAGCTGGGTGGAGTTCAAATTATAAGGTACAGAAATTGCACTTAATCAACCTTGAAATGGTTTTGTGTGATTGCAGCATACAGCTTGCGGCACACTCCAACGTCAGACAATATGAAAATTATCTTAAGTTCATTGCTCACATTATGCTTGATCATTATACGAGTAGGGTACCACTTATAGATACCACAGATATTTAAATTGTTAGTTTGTGGTAATGTGACATGAATTAGTACAGTTTCGTTACAAATACCTCATTTATCCCCTTAGTTGTTTTCAATTATCTAAATATAACGTGCACAACCATCAGTGCGTCAGTGTTGAGCGATAAGATTGGCAATACTTTTATCATATAAATTGTTTTTATTCTCAACAAATCCCATTAAAATATCAGTTCAAGGCTTTCCAAATATGTGATGACTTCCTGTCTGTAGCTCTCATTCCCACTGGTTTATGATAAAGACGTTAATCTTTTAAATCTACCAAATATGTTATTTTGTTTTAAGCAAACTTTACTCAACAAGGAGGAAAAAGTAAATGTGTTGGTGACTATTTTCAGCAGCAGAATAATCCACACAATAAACTACAGTGTGTGTGTGTTCATGGTGTGTGAATCAATGAACTGTATTTAACAGTTGATGGATAACAATAGAGCTTTATGGAAAAGAGGAAGAAGATTAACAGAACGAAGCTATCTCAACTGAATTCTCCCCTGGTTTATGATGGAGGGGATTACCCATCCTTACCCAGTTTAAAAAAAATAATGTGTACCCTCCACACCAGCCAACAATCCACCGACACAGTCAACTTCATCATCATCATCATCATCATCATCATCATCATCATCATCCTCCTCTCCTGCGCTTTCTATTTTGTATTTTAAACAGGCGGGGGCTTCCTGAAGCCCAAACAGCTTCCACACACACTTCATTTTCTGAGAACTCTCCAACCTGCTGCCCAGACCTGTTCACACAACGCTCACTGGAGTAACCTCGCTTCTTTTATAATTGCCATCATAACCTTTCACAGAGTTTCATCAATTAAAACATTTTGAATCTAGCGTCTCAAATGTTAACATTGTACGTCTTCTTTGACAGTGAATGCAATACCTAGGATAAAAATAAAATCGTATGTCCATATCGGCTCTAGGAAATTTGGATGAACTATTTTCAGTATTTTCTGACATTTACAGGAGAGAATCAATGGTGAAAAACAGAACTGAGAAAAGCAGCACATTCTCAAACTTCAGAAGATAAGACCATTGGAGGCTTAGGCCTTTTTCTTAATAAATTCTTTAAACTTTTGTAAATACTGTTGTCCAACTGACAATCCTCTCCCATCAATAATAATCAAAATACTTTTGAAAAAAAACAAATATGGGCTACTTTGTGTTTTCAGAAAGCTCACACGATGTCACACTTACTGTAGTTTTCTATTTTAATTTACCCTGGGTCCACTTTAGATTAAACCTGTATTACGTACAGAAATATAAGACAGTGTTGAGGAATGGGTTCTTGGGCCAAAAAATCTTGATGGTGACATCTTTCCATTCTTATTCCTGTCCACACCTGGCCTGCTATACATGACGATTCTCTAGCACTCTCTTTAATTATGCAACAGTTTCAGTAATGCTAGATGCAACATGTTTATCCCTGCTCTCTGACGTTTGACGAAAGCAACTCCCAACAATGTAGGAATTCCCAAAGTGAAGTAGGAACATTCGAGTGAAAGTAGATACGAAGAGAAGTAAATAATAACAATTTAAGCCCAAATACCTGCTCAAATAAATCTGAGCATCACATCCATGGAGGAATGTTTCTTATTATTACATTTATATTCCTAACTTATGTAGTATTTGACACAAAGAAATTGCTATGTTTGAATTTGACACTTGGCTGCTGACAGACTCACTGACAGATTTAAGAATCAAACTTGATCGCGCAATGAGAAAAATCTCCCAAGTATTCAAGATAGGACACGGCGCCGACAGCCTGCCTCACCACGATGAGGATTATTAAAGAGGACATATTATGCTAATTTAAAGGTTAATATTAGTAGGTTGTTTCTCTACTGCGACATGTTTCCATGCTTTAATGTTCAAAAAGCTCTTTATTGTTCTCATACTGCCTGTGCTGCAGCATCTCTTTTCACCCTCTGTCTGAAACCAGAGCCCAGTCTACTCTGATTTGTTAGCTGGCCGGCTTTGTTGTGATTGGTCAACCGCTTAGAGATGTCCCGCCTCTTAGCCTATCACGTACAATGTGTTGGAGCGCTAGCCAATAGAGC